TACAATTGATAAAGTAGAGACAGTATTAACATCTTACAGTAGATAGAAAACCAGTATAGACATTTTTAATTTCTAGTGCTTTCGACCTTAAGCTGCGATGCTGAACTTGTTTTTAAATATTTCTTGACTCCTCTCATTATCAAAATTCTAATACAGCTTGTTTTGCCTATGCTAATTTCATACTTGTGACGTCATTGTTTTTGTCTCGTAGTACGATTTGCAAGATGGATGCTCGCGCTGGAGTAAATATATTTTTTATAATGATTATAATATTATGATAATTGTATCATCCGCCATTTTTAAATACGATCAGAGTAGGGAATTCGATCCCGGTCCTTATTTCTAATTCCGGGATTTCGGGATTATACTTATTCAATCCCGGGATCCCGGGATTATTTCGGTATTGAGGGTTAATAAAAAAAATAAGAAAATCTTACAGAAATCAAAAATCAAAATTTAGACAAAAATCAACGTAATTTACGGTATACACCTAGTTAATTTAATCACTCTAACTAATCAGACTTAGAGTCAGACTAACCAGACTTAAAATCACTGTTTCATGTTAAATTTATTCTTTTTTAAGCATCACTGAGATCTCTTTAAACTCACGTAAATTGAAAAAAAAAAACCTTTATGTAACAAACTATGCAAATAAACGTTGAAAATTAACAAAAATCTCTCTTAACATCGACTAAATAGACTACTTTCATATAACAACCTAGTAAGTAGGTAGTAAGATAAGTTTCTTAGCAAAAAGTATTTAAAAATAATATTAATCAGTCACATTTTTCTTAAATATAAAGAAAACTAATCTAATAGGAACATTCTAATTTGAATTGCGAAAATATGATCTGAGAAATAACAACGCATCCTGTGTCTCATCACCAAGTCTGCTTCTCAATTTGTTGCACATATATGCAGCTGCTGAGAAAACGCGTTTAGGTTTGATGGAAGTTGGAGGAATCGTTAGTAAATACTTATAAGCCCGTTCTAGTTATAGCTTCGAGGACACGGGGAGGTTGGAAGAAAACAGTCCGGTCGACACAGATCGGGATTGTAGGAGTAAAGGCTACAATCCCGATTGTTTCGATCATTGTAAGCATGCCTTTCTAAAAATAAACACGTTAATTTTGTAAATTCGGTCTCTGTGTGAGTCTCTCAGCATCCAGCAAACCACTACTCCCAAACGTAAAAAGACTTTCTCGCATCATCCTGACAGATCACGGGCAAGGCGGGGGTCGTAACCTTTTCACCTAAGGTCGACCCCCCTAAGCGAGAGGCGTCGGGTCTATATTAACCACACTGGCAAAACAAGATGGCTGACACATTGACAGGTAAAACGCACTGAGTAGTGCTCTCGACTGCGCCAGAAAATCGATTGACGCCCGCGAAAATTCAAAAATACAAAAATGAAGTATATTGCCAAGTAACCCAGTGAGAACTGCTTGCCTATCATTTTAATATAAAATACAAGAAATTTTATTTCAAGCAAGCAGCAGAAATTAACCTAGCGGGTTTGCGATGCTTGCTTGGAATAAAATTTCTTGTATTTTATATTAAAATGATAGGCAAGCAATTCTGTTAAAAGCACTGGCACTAAACGTTTCGCTTCATGCAGTCTATTTTGCAACTTTTTTTAAAATGATGTCAATCCCGAAAATCTCGGGATTAGGAAAACTTAATCCCGAAAATTTTGGGACTGAAAAGTGGTCGAGATCCCGGGATCAAATCCTCTAATTACAAGAGATAAAATATGACGATCGGTCAAAAATGATCCAAGATTTTTAAATTTTTAGACTCGGGACACCTTGAAATGTCGAGAAATGGGGGAAAAATCGGGGTAATTTCTGTGTGTATAGATGTTAGTGTGTGTGTGTGGAGGGTCACAATTTTGTTCACCCTCTTTGATTCTTAATTAATAATTCATGTGCTTTTTGTCGAAAATTTCTGAAATTTTGCAGGGAGGTTTTTTATGAGGGAGATTGATGCTATTAAATTTTGGTAATTAAAGGTTGTAAGAGATAAAGGGGGTCGTGTGTATCTCCAGTAGGGTCAGACTTAAATGCTAATAACGAGTAAAATCGTCATTAGCATTTACAATTTTTTATAAAACCCATCCCTACCCTCAAACTTAAGCTTTTTGCCATTTTATAATAGTTAAATAATTAGTTAAAAATATAAAATTTTTAAAATAAAATATGATAACAGATGACGCAACCAAATGTTGCCGGGAAAGTTAAGCAGCTCGTTGCTGGATTTTTTTACTTAACATTCTACGTCACTAAACACTACCCTATATGTCAAATATTATTCATCTTTTGATCAGAAGTATAGAAATTATAGCAAATTCTCAATGTCTAGTTACTTTCTACCCATCATGTAAATGGACATGATGGGTGGAAAGTAACTAGACATTGAGAATTTGCTATAATTTCTATACTTCTGATCAAAAGATGAATAATATTTGACATATATCTTATTAAATGGAATACGGATGTATAAGATAGTTTAAATTCAATTTAGCCTGTGCCATCCACCCACCAATGACACGTTTTCCTCAGATCGCAATGTAGATGGACGGCCACTTCTCTGTGTCCGAAATCGAATCTGTGATAATTTTAGATTCGAATAACAATTCTTGATTGTTTCCGGTCGGGTTGTAACTTGACGTTTCTTCACGGTACACCACCATATCTGGCACAACAATCACTGATTTCACAACTCAGTGTGCAGAAATCTGTGCTCGCTCATGAACAGAGAAGCGTTCGGCCATCTTTTTTATCATTGCGTGTGCAGCCTTTCCCGGTTAATGCTCACACTATCAATGCAGAAATTATAAAATTTCATTGATCGCTGTACATGCAAACATAAATTTTATTATAATTTCAATATTATTACAAAAAAACTACAACGATTTCTCAATGCCTAGTTACTTTCAACCCAGTGGACTGTCGATCAGACTCGTATAATCAAGTCTGATCGATAGTCCACTGCCATTGCAAATCAAAAATATAAAAATTGTTTTTGTCACAATTGGTTTGTATCTTGCACCTTGCAATTACAAGCATTCTACCATTTATAAATCTATTTAAACTTAAACTTTCTGACAAATTCTAAATTCTAACATATTAAAGCAGTGGTTCCCAAAGTGAGCGCTTTCGTCCTCTGGTGAACTGTGAGTAAACCTAAGGGGCGAAAAGAATCAAGGGGGCGGCAGGGGCACTGGAATCTGAGAGTCCTGACCGCAGAAAGTGACCATAAGGGAGTTGGAGTCACTGACAACTTTTCCCTTTCCTCCATTAATTGCGTTTAATGGTTTCAGATATGAAGAGCAATGTACGGTAAGGACAGTGTGGGGTTCATAGAAAAGTTTTTCTAAGAATATCTTCAAGCCTTTCTCCCACAAGGGAAAATGAGTTAGGTTCTTTTATAAATACACCTCACAGTAGAATACATTTAATATTCTATAAACATATATATATATAATGTATAAATATATAATTTATACAGCTATATATTATATGATATCATAACCATCTATTTCTTAGTAATAACATATATGTATTACTAATATGTTATAAGATATATTTTACTTATGTTAGTTATGTTATGGTTTGCAATTGCATAATTATTTTATAAGTTCCACCCAATTAAATAAGTAATAGCATAAATTGTTTAAATCAAAATGTGCTGTCTTAATATCTGAAATGATGCACTTAATCTAATTTTCAGGTACATTTTTTTGATGATCAATGGGAAAAACTAGAGTTGATGGAACTAGAAAATTGAAAGAAGGACGAGCAAATTATTAAAAACATTAAAATAGAAAAATGGTATGCAATTAATGTGAATCAGTCTCTATCTAAACAGATAATAACGTATTATATTATATTGCCAAATAACTACATATATTAAATCAAATATTTAAATTAATACGTAAGTTAAAGTAAAAAAACAATAGCTTTTTTTATTTTATCCAAAGTTATAAACAATAAACATCTATTGCTAAATTTAACATATTAATATAAAATGTTAATAAAGTAGTAATAATATTAAAAATGTAATAATAAATATAAATTTTTAATTGTACATTTATTTATGGAAACAAGTATTTTAATTTAAAACATTAAAATGCAACAATAATTCAAGAAAACCGGAATTGTTTTTATTTCAAACAATATCTGATATTGTTATTATTCTAACTAAATTGTCTTTTAAAGAAAGAATTAAAATTTTCTGATGTAAATATTTTATCGAATATTTCAAATATGTTATCCATTGCAAAAGGATCAAAATCAACACGTAAGTAAAACAGTAGAAATTAAAATGAAGAAAACAGCAATAATATCGAATGTAATAATAAGACTATAGCTAAGCTTTTAAGCTTAAAGAAAAGTTTTTATATTACATTTTAATATGATATTTTTGTTATCGTTTATATAAATTTATAATTTATATAAAGTAAACTAATTTATACAGATTATAATTAAAACATTTTATAACAATAATAATACATTATTAATAAATTATTTGATATAAACTATAAGTAAACTTTTATTTTAAAATCTAGGCTAATATAGGAATCGGTTATCAGGAATTAGTATTAATACCTAATAAATAAATAAATAAATGTTATATTGATTAATCTTGTATTTCGATATCGTATTATAATAAATATATTTTTAAAAACATGAATATATATATGGTAATGATTACATTAAAGATAATATTTTAAAATTATTATTTTATTAAGGGCTTGATAAACAAGCAGTAAGTGTTAGTATCATTAAATGGTACATAAGAACTTTCAAACGGCATCTATTACTGCGATTCATTTCGGCTGTTTATGTCATGTCCGCAGTAAAAAAACGAAGAATANAAATAAGTTTATTATTTCAGTGTTTTAAGTTCTTTATCCAGCAATGAAATCAACGAATATATATATGGTAATGATTACATTAAAGATAATATTTTAAAATTATTATTTTATTAAGGGCTTGATAAACAAGCAGTAAGTGTTAGTATCATTAAATGGTACATAAGAACTTTCAAACGGCATCTATTACTGCGATTCATTTCGGCTGTTTATGTCATGTCCGCAGTAAAAAAACGAAGAATAACGAAACGTAGACAATTTGAAATAATGCAATCGATATTACACGAAATTATAATTTATCGAATCCAAACTTGGTGGAGAAGACAGATAAAAGCGGAGATACTGCGACAAGCAATCAGACAGTGGAGAGCAGCGCTTATAGTAAAAAAATGCTACTTACAATATTTATCTAGACTTATTAGACAACGAAAAAGTCTTTTTGCTGCTCTCATAAGTCAATTTTGGTTTAAAAAACAAAAGATACAAGCTGAAAAACATCTTATTAAGCTACAAAGACAATGGAGAGCTATAAACATTAGAAAGAAATTTGTACAGTTTCGCTTGAATAGTATTTTAGCACAAGCAGGGATTAGAAGATATTTAATTAGAAAAGATGTTAACATGAGAACCTGGATCGTAAAGCATGTAAGTTTCTTCTTCATAGTATATATAAATTATCATAAATCGCTTTTATTATTACTTAAATTCAGCAATAACAATTTTTTAATTCTCTTATTAGAATAAGAGAATTAAAAATTACTACTACTTGATAGCTCTTTATTTATTTAGTAAATTCGATGTATTTTATACTTATTTTCAGTTATATTAAATTAATTTTTCTTTTACTTTTAGTTCAGTTCCAGCATTTGGTTATCGACACTGAAAGGATATTCTGAAGAACTAGATAGACAAATGGGATTAAATGATTTTCTTAAGCAAATGGATGAACGGAATGATAAATGGGGTGAAACTAACGATACTCATATATCTGAAATCAGCATTTCAACAGAAGTTAGAGATAAAACTATAGATCAGCTTACTTTATGCAATCTGACAGATCCAACCAATAAGTACTATAAGCTAGTTCTCGCTGCTTGCGAACAAACATCAGTGATTCCGTTTTTCAATGTATTTCCTAAAAGGTATGCTTTATGATTATTATTGTGATTGTAATATAGGATACATTTTTCTAATATTAAAACTTTATTATGTTACACCGAATCTGTGTTGTGAATTTAGCATGAATATTGTCAAAATTGTGAAATCGGCACATAAACTGCCAGTTTCGCGAATTATGCAAATTTTTGTTTACTTCACGAAATGACAACATTCCCACTGGCAATCGTGCCAAATGACACGAGCGCATCATTGTAATAAATTTATGAATTTATATCATTATTGGTTTTTTTTGGATCTTTCTACTAAAAACTATTTTATACCCATTGTGAGCTCAGTCAGATCCAGTGGATAGAAGGGACTGGGCCTGACATATCTGGGATGAAGACGTGTTACAGCCATAAGTGAGAGCAAGGAAGGGCAAATGTCATTTGATAATGGTCCTGAAGAGGTTTTAATTTTTAACCATGCTCATTAACTTCAATAATTGATTACGCCTGGCGTAATACACCAGGTAGTGCAAATTGGGCGAGGATACAAACGAGTACGTAGTATGCAAGTGTAAAGTTTGTCTTCATAAATAAGATTTATTTTATATCTTAAAAATAATTAAGTATATTCCGGGATTTCCCGGAACCCCGGGAAACAGTTCACTTTTTCTCGGAATCCTGGGACAAGCAAAAGACAGGGAAATGAGCAACCTTATCTAAAACGAAGTCATGGACCTCATTTACTACACTTTTGTATCCCTCGTCACAATTAATAGAAAACAGGAAGGTTTAATCAAAATCGATGGATGAAATTTTCAGAACAAACGCAATTTTTAAAACCATATGGAAGAGGCTTAGCTAACGCTCGGCCTCAAAAATGCAGATTTCACGCAATAGTCATTTCAAAATTAGCATATTTCGTAAATTTGGCAAAAAATGAGAAACATTCCCGAATTCAGCGTAAGATAAAATCGTCAACGTTTACTCAGTATATTATCTTAAACTTTTTTTAATGTTTCTTAAGAAATTACCGTCAGTATTGGAGGAAGATCGGAGAAGGTTCTTATGGAGATGTATATGCAATGATGGATGAGTATGGTATTCCTCATCAGTTATATAAAATAGTGCCGATAGGAGGTTTCCATCCATTAACTGGAAAAGCGTTGGAGAATTTGGACACAGTTTATCCAGAAATTATATCGTCCATGTAATTTTCATTAAAAATGATTAAATAAAAATTTTGTAAAATTTTAAATGTAAATCAAATAAGTTTATTATTTCAGTGTTTTAAGTTCTTTATCCAGCAATGAAATCAACAGAACTTCAGGATTTACCCAAGTAAGCAAGTAAGTCTTAGAGCCTAGTAGGTTTATTTTTAGAGTTTTACACAATATCTAAGCTATTACAGTAGTTAGAAATATAATTAAACTGTTTAAAATTTCCCAGTTTATAAATAAATTAGCCTTTTCGAGATATTCATATTAGCCTATTTATTTAATAAATTTTTAGAGTCAGCTGCGTGTCTGGACCTATTCCAGAATATCTTCGTACAGCTAGGAAAATGTATAATTTGAGAAAGAAATCAACAACTAAATGCCCTAGTAAGAATAAAATAAACTAGAGTATTTAATTAATGAAAATATTAATTAACATTTATTTTAAAATTTGATTAATTGCACATTTTAGAATTGAAGGAATCTGTTATTTGATAAAACTTTAGTATGCTATTACAAAACACTTTATCACTTTGCATTAATTTTAATATCGAATTTATTTTTTGAAAACTTACGAATTATCTAATAATAAATTTTAATAATCAAGTCTGGAACGAGTTGTGATACTTAATTTATTGAGTTTCCAATAAGAACTGACTAGTCTAAAACAACGTTGCCTTATGAAACAGTTATTTTATAAATTATCGTTCAATAGTCATAGATTCCTATTGGAAATATTTATCTCCTCTTCAGTATGGAATTTTACATTGTTTTGACAATTAAACAATTATAAAAATTTCCTTATATCAACAAGCCATCTTATCTTCACATATACTATATGTAATAATCCAAATTAATTTACAGTTAGAAAAAAATTGTTATAGTTAAATTTAATTTTTTTAAAATTGTATATACATGCGGTTAAGGTGGCTTCTTGATTTGATGAAGCTTTTTGGCTCCAATTTGACAATTCGAAAATGTTTTTTCCGAAAGATGTTAGATAGGTGACCGGCACAACTCTAGTGTTAAAGAAAAAGTATGATGTACAGGGGTAAGCGACTACTAGTTTGAGGTGGAGAGCATATATTTTAAATTAAATAAATTAAAAATTTCAGGCCGGCATTGTGACGATGTCACAATAAATAATTACTCGTTATAACTGTTTTATTGTAAAGATGACTTGTTAAAACTGATAAGGACAATTAAAATTTAATAGCCAAGAAGGGATAAATAAAATTAATTCAAATTTATTAAAAAATTAATTTATTTATTCTTTAACTCGTACTTTTAATGTATTTTATAGATGAATTTCCAGACGATCAAATTTTCATTGTTTATAAAATGAAATATGCTGGGCAACAGATCACATCGTTTTCGGTAAGTCAGATATTTTCATTTACTTTATTTCCAATAGTTACCGCTAAAGTTATACAACATCGATTTCATTTACAAATTAATTACCTTAATCTAGATTTTTAAAGAATTAAATTATTTATAAATTATTGATCTTATGGTCTAATAATATAGTAATCTTTCTATAAGATGAGATGATTCTAGTGTAAAATTTTAAAGTAATTTTTTATAATTTAAAATTTAATATTACTGGTTTGCGTGTCGCCATCTGTTGAGAAATAAAAACATATACAAGGTATTTTTTATGATTTCGTTTATATTTTTATTGGATTTCTGCATAAACTTCTCAATAGCTATTGTTTTTTTTTTTTATTATTTTATCATATTTTATAATTTGCGAAATTTTATATTAACACAGAGTTGATGAATTGAGAAGCATACCGTTAAGAATATTTCTTTATTATACAATTTTGTAAGCATTATTGTGAATAAAAAGGGAAAACTAAAACAGATAAATTTAGCTTATTATTATTATAATGGTTTTCAAAAAAGGACGAGAAATCAATTTTTTACAAAATAATCATAGGATATCATAAAAAGGTATTATCTATTTAAGCTCAAGCTTTTCTGCTTGAGCTTAAATAGATAATACCTTTTTATCATAGGCGATATTTATATATTTTATCTTTTCGTTCTTTGAAGTTTTAATTCAAAACGTAGATATAAATAACATTTTATTTTTTTCTATTGGTCATTTTATCGCTGCGCTTTACGGTCCTATTAGAATCATTCTTATAACGTGGATATGATTTTGGCTAACAAAGAAATATTGATAACATAAAGTGAATAAAATTCAATATAATCCATTTAATTTATTACACAGGATTTTACATAAGTTCATGAAAATTTTTTTTAAATTTATTATTCATAGACTGCACAATATATACTAGTATTTTTCAACATTGAAATAGAGGTAAACTCTCAATTTTACTTTCCCGGCTGTTATGTATAACAGAGGGAAAATATGGCGAATAAGATTTTTTCATTTTTGGACTTAGGACACCTTGAAACGTCAAGAAATGCAAAAAAAAAAAAAAAAAAAAAAAAAAAAAAAAAAAAAAAAAAAAAAAAAAAAAAAAAAAAAAAAAAAAAAAAAAAAAAAAAAAAAAAAAAAAAAAAAAAAAAAAAAAAAAAAAAAAAAAAAAAAAAAAAAAAAAAAAAAAAAAAAAAAAAAAAAAAAAAAAAAAAAAAAAAAAAAAAAAAAAAAAAAAAAAAAAAAAAAAAAAAAAAAAAAAAAAAAAAAAAAAAAAAAAAAAAAAAAAAAAAAAAAAAAAAAAAAAAAAAAAAAAAAAAAAAAAAAAAAAAAAAAAAAAAAAAAAAAAAAAAAAAAAAAAAAAAAAAAAAAAAAAAAAAAAAAAAAAAAAAAAAAAAAAAAAAAAAAAAAAAAAAAAAAAAAAAAAAAAAAAAAAAAAAAAAAAAAAAAAAAAAAAAAAAAAAAAAAAAAAAAAAAAAAAAAAAAAAAAAAAAAAAAAAAAAAAAAAAAAAAAAAAAAAAAAAAAAAAAAAAAAAAAAAAAAAAAAAAAAAAAAAAAAAAAAAAAAAAAAAAAAAAAAAAAAAAAAAAAAAAAAAAAAAAAAAAAAAAAAAAAAAAAAAAAAAAAAAAAAAAAAAAAAAAAAAAAAAAAAAAAAAAAAAAAAAAAAAAAAAAAAAAAAANTCGGTCGATAACAGACGATTACGCCACTGTTTATGTTCGTTCGCGCAGTTTTCGATGAGTCATATCATTCTTAACTTGGATGGAAATGAAATTTGTTACAACGTTGCACTTAGTCTTTCATATTTGTTGTTAGTAATTTAAAAGACATTTTGAAACACATACGGACGATAATAATTTTTTAAAATATAATAACACAAAAATGAAAAGGGAACTCGGGTACAGTACATTTATCAAGAGCCACAAATAATCTTTCGAAGAGCCGCATGTGGCTCGCGAGCCGCAGGTTGGCCACCCCTGCTATATAGCAAAACACTATTGTGCTTTGCTGTAAGTTAAGACCTCAATTAATTCTCAAAGTCTCTAAGTCTTCTGTTTAAAATTCTGCATTTCTCTCAAAGTTGTAAAATTCTTTTCGAATAAACGTACACAAGAATCGACATGCACAATTCTTACATAAATTTGCATAAGAGGGATTATCAACTAACTAAAAATTTTTGTTATATAATTTTAATAATTACGAAATTGTTATATTTAATTATTGAAAAATGTTTAAACTTTATGTAGGAATTTCGCGTGGAACAAGCTAGCAGCGTTTTGCAACAAGTGGCTTGTAGTATTGCAGCTGCAGAATTAGAAGTAAAATTTGAACATCGAGATTTACATTTGGGCAACGTTTTAATTAAGAAGACAGCTCAATCTTCAATTTCTTTTAGATTAGATGGTCGCAACATAAATATTGCTTCACATGGTGTTCTGGCAACTATCATCGATTACACTTTTAGCCGTTTAAATTATGGTAAGTTAAATTAACAGGTAATATAATTTAATAAATTAGGATTTTATTATCAATTTACAAAAATAATAAAATTGTTACAGGTAATAAAGTTATATTTCGAGATCTTTCATGCCATCTTTTTGACCGAATTCAAACAGAACACAAAATTTATAGAAAAATGCGTCAATATAATCAGTAAGATTCATAAAATTATTATAGCTTTAATGTAATCAAAGGGTGTAATTTATCATTTATAAGATATCGTATAAACAACAATAATAAATGATAAATGTTAATCATTACATTTTTTCTTAATTTTAACATAAAGCTTTTATATATTAATATTTTATTTTGTAATATCAAGAGATTTTATCTTATAATAAAATTCGATTTTATTTTGAAATAAAATGAAATTAGAAATTAAGTTAGTCTACTGTAAGTAATTAAATATATTAAAGTTTAAAATATGCATACTTACATTAGTTCATCTTCCATACAGCGATGGACACAAATGTCTTTTTCGCTTTATGCTGATTATTTCTATTTAGCAGTTTACTATGCTATTCGAAATGCTCTTACACTTATTTTGGTATCAAAACATCACTAGATCCTGAATCAAACTGAAAACATTTTGACCTTTACGCTGAGGCCTCAACTACAAATGCGTGTTAAAAAAATATTTACAAATTTCTTAAATAAATAACAAATAATAATAATAATATAGGCCTATACATATTATAAACTTGTTAAAAATGGTAGACATTTATTATTTGTTGTGTATATATCATTATAATTAATATTAATATATATATATTAATATTAATTATAATAATATATATATATATATATATATTTGTTTTTTGAAGCTAATATATTCTTATGTTTTGATATCATATAACACATAAATCTAATCCAATATACTGTACAAAACATTAATTTGATTTCATTTTTGAGTCAAAAGATCAATACATTTTTGTCTATTATGAGCTTATCAAAACACATGACCTCTATATCATGACGATATCTGCCCCAGTCTATTCTGCATCTCTTACGGCCATATTCACAACCAAGGATCAAGAGTTAACAGTTGGTTAAGAGTTAGTTAAAAAGTTAACCAATTACTAATTACTACTTTTAGTATGTGAACGCTTATTGGTTACCTTCTACTCTAACTTTAGGTCCTTGCTTATGAATACGAGCATTAAGGTAATAAAAAAATATTTTATCATACTCATTTAGTTAATTTTAAAGTTTAGACCTATTGCTACTAAATATATGAATCTACATATTTAATCAGTGCTTATTTATTTAATTTGTCTATTTAGAAACAACTGGGGCGTATTCTGGCCATACAGTAATGTCATGTGGCTCTGGTATCTAAATGCTTGTCTTATTAAGGATTTGGAAGAAAGACCGATACCTGATTCAGTTGATAAACAGCTAGAAGACTTATCCTGGAGTCAGCTGAGTCACTGGAAGAAAAACATCTTATCTCGAGATTCAGTGGCGAATTTCGTATTACAAGGAATGATATAAAATATAGAAAAAATGAGCAGAGGTATGCAAAATACAGTTGATCCATTAGCAGTTGCAAATGATTGCTTAATAATAGGATATACAATAATATACATTACACAACAAAATCTTAAACTAATCTTAGAATAGAATAGGCCTAGTTGTTTAAAATAAATTTATTTATAAGTATTGAAACTAATGTAATTGTTGGGCATTAATAGGTTAGTCTGAAAACTTAGCTTTCTGGAACATACAGAACAAAGATAATGTTTAATTATTTTTTACACGAGGTTAAATATTCAGAATGGTAGTGAATTTAACAATTTTCCATCATGACATAATTTTTATGAAATATTTGAAACGAACTTTTTAATTATTTAAAGTTTTAAAGTAAATTCACTTCAAGTAAATTAAAGCTTATTTAAAGTGTATATAGTTTTTAAAGTAGTTATTAAACTTTTAGAATTTTTATTTCTGTAAATTATGTTATTTATAGACCATTTCGATTCTAATATTAATATTTTTAATTTCAGATATATTCAAAATTTATTTTTGGAAGATATTTAATTGAAGTTATATAATAAATTATTTCATTTGTCGTTTGAAGAAATATTTGGGATTATTGAAAAATAACTAAATTTTAATTTATGAAAAAATAAATATATTTTAATAAAAAATAATTAGTCTTGTGTACACTTTACTTTTTAAAAACAAAATTCATGAACATATCAAACAAATTAATAAAATTTAATGTCGATTTAAAGGAAAGTGTCTTAATATGCATACAGTACATATATTACATATTATCGAGTATAACCTAATTCTTAAAATGCAAAACTATTTCTTCAAAAATAATCTTACGTTCCATTAATTTTACCAATATTTAGTCTTTACTAGATTATTGTCTGCTAATATGGCTTCCCATTAAAAATAAAGAGAGTTAGATAAAATATTTCTTATTCTTAATAAATTCTCTAATATTCCTTTTACCTCTAATGCTAATGTTGCCATGTGCAAATTGGGAATTCCCAGTTTTACCGAACGTATTAAATACTTTGACTGTTTACTTTTATACAAATACTTCCATGGTCCCATTCGTTCTGAATGACTGTGCCAAAGAGTTGCGCCGCGAGTTACTCGTAACCAAACTTGATTACCCTATCTTTTAGCCTTTCCATTTCCTTCAGATCATTTTTTTACCTTTCTGTTCATAGTATGGGCTGTTTGGAACAATCTCTACATTAAGATTTTCCATATTTTAAACGCATTTGTAATTTATAATCATTTGTATTTATTTATGTATATTTTGTACAGCGATGGACACAAATGTCTTTTTCGCTTTATGCTGATTATTTCTATTTAGCAGTTTACTATGCTATTCGAAATGCTCTTACACTTATTTTGGTATCAAAACATCACTAGATCCTGAATCAAACTGAAAACATTTTGACCTTTACGCTGAGGCCTCAACTACAAATGCGTGTTAAAAAAATATTTACAAATTTCTTAAATAAATAACAAATAATAATAATAATATAGGCCTATACATATTATAAACTTGTTAAAAATGGTAGACATTTATTATTTGTTGTGTATNTATATATATATATATACACTGTACATATAAAGTAATTTAATAGAAAAAAATAAAGCTTTTACAGTACTGAGTAAGTGATATTAACGAAAAACCAATGTAATAAGTTCATTTAAATTTTGATAGTGCATATGTGCTATTTGATAGACATTGACTATTATTTGTATACAAAATAAATCAGTTTTTAAATTAGAAAAAAATTGTTATTTATTATGAACTTATTACCAAGAATCCAAACTGATTTTTGGCAACAGTGACGTAGCGAACGTAACTGGCGGCCGGGGCACGACACTTTATTGGCGCTCCCCTCCCCCCTCCAGAAACACATATAGTTTTATCATGCAGACCATTTGGGCGCCCCTCTACGAATGGCGCAAGGTGCATGATACACCCCCTTGCACCCCTTCGCTATGCCACTGTTTGTCAATAAGTTCATAATGAATAACAGCCATTATAAGTACAGTATTACTGTACTTATAATGGTTAATACTGTACTTATAATATGACTTTGAATTGTGTTCCTGTATTATAAGTACAGTAATACTGTACTCACAAATGAATATTTTTAACTTGTACGAAATAAGATTCGATCTGTTCAACATAAGCTCATAATTATAATAGAAAGCTAATGTATACGGATTCCTGTAGCATTCCTATTGTCTTCAATTATTCAAGCTTCTACTATGATAAAAACGGAATTTATTTTCATGAAACCATTTTATCCCTTCATAACAAATCATTAAATGTCGTTATCTCACATTAAAATAATTTAAAAGTACAGTAAAAATTTTTACGCCGTTGAATGTAATATTAAATTAGGAATGTATTCAAATTTGAGTTTAATTTAAAATTGATTTCAAACTTGGTCGTAATTTGTAAACTTAAAACCAATTTACTATATTACCGGGTATTAATTTATTAAGTCTTAAACCCGGAAAATTTTTCATCTTGCTATACAGTAGGCTATTTTCTTTTACTTCTTGTTAATGTGGGTTGATTGCATGTAGGCAAAACTCAAATAAAGCCCACGTAAGGTCATTTGAGTTCATATGAACCCACTTCTTACCTTGGGTCTATCTAATATTTACACCATTAACTTGAATTTCCTCCTATTTGAGATTAATACAAATTATATTTATAACTTATATTTAAAATTACTTGAAAATTTTTATGATTCTGTTTTCAATTATTTTTATGAAACAAATTACATTTAGGCCTAATATTAAGTTGTAAAGCTCTAACAGCTATTTATTGCATTCCTGTAAGCTATTGTTATTGTGCCAATTGAGTTTCTTTACTATATTTATTATTACATTTTAAAAAATTGAATTTTATTATAAAGTGATTCATTTTTTATGATTAAATAATGTTATTATTTTAAAAAAAGTTTTAAAATGCGGTGATTTCTTTCACGGAAAACAAATTTTAAACATTCCCTAGAAGTGAATAGACGTAAACCTGTTCACTTCCTACAGAATGGGCTCAATCACAGAAATGTCGTTTAAAAATTTATTACATTTTTAAAAGAAAATTTCATCGAATATATTAATTATTTTATAAATAACTAATTAAAAATTTTAACATTAATATCCAAAAATTTGAAATTATTTCTGTTTTATTATGATAAAATCATGAAAAATATTTCATAAATATTTCCAAATATTGATGAAAGGTGATATTTTAAGGCTTATTTAGAAACTCAGTTAAGGAAATAAAGCATTTTTCCCCCTCTTTCCTTTCAATAATACGAAAGAAAGGCTCCATTTAAGGTTATTTGTGTTAAAAGTCTAATAGTCTAATTGCTTTATGTTCATAGCGTATAACTTATTTCGTGCATCTTTCGATAAAACAGTACATTGACAGTTAAAAAAACATTTTTTTTTAAAAATAAAATTTGCAGATTATTTAGAAATTCACAAATTATAATTTGATAAATGAATATTAGAGCGGAACCGTATATACTCTCTTTAATATCAATAATGAAATAAGTGCGCTTACTTTAATTTATAAATATAATTATTATATTTTATTATATATTATAATTGATATTTTAAAAATAAAAACAAAATTTACTTTGTAAAAAATAAATGAATGATTCAGAATGGCAGCTTTCCATCATAACATACCGGCGCGAGATTATAGCTTACGGGTCAGCTGGCGAGTTGGTATTATTTGAACTTTTTTCCAATGTTTATATCATAAAAGCCGAATGTCGGCAGACGTGTTATACAGTAAGGTAAATATATTGTATTTTCTATAAATATTTTCGTATATTTACGAGTATTGGTGATAAAAATCATTTATAATTCATTTTATAAACATTTTGAAGTTAAGCAGTTAAGCCTTCTTTTAGGGTTAGCATATGTAGGAAATACACTTCCTCAGGAAACTTTTATCAATAAGAAGAAATGTACAGCTTTAAATTGTGTACAGTGTAAATATGAAATACTAATTTGTTAAGTCAAATTTAATATTATTTATATATATATATATATATTTGTATACTTATATAACTTAAAGTAAATTCACAGAAATATTTTTTGATTGTGTATAAGATTTTAATTTCATTAAATATCAATAATGACTTATGAATTGCAAAAATATATAAAAGAAAAAATTTATTAAAGTTTTAACTATTGAATGTTGTGATAAGAGATGTACAGTAAGTAAAAGAAGAACAAATAGTATCAGTACACTTTGTAAGCAGTGCTATGCAAATAAATTTTTTCTAAAGTACTTGGATCCAGTCTGCTTGGATCATATCATTTTCACCTCATAAAGGAGTAGGTTCCTTCAAAATTGATTGAATTGGACATAGATGAATTTTTACAAAAAATGTTATTATGTGTAATGCTTGACTGAGTACCGAATGCTTGAATTTAGTATTAATTTAAAAAACAAAGAAGCTTCTGGTAAGATATTCATTCTCTAAATTTAAGCATTTGATATTAAAAATCTTCCCAAAACAAAAGAAAATTTTGTTTCTAAATTTAAATTGAAATTGAGATTTAATCTAGATTTGATCTTATATAATGTTGAATTGGATTAATGCTTCTTGCACTTTATTATAAGTATTGTGGACAAACAGTTATGAGAACCTTACTTCATTTAAGGATTTGTTACATCAAGGAGAGGAGTGTGCATAAATGATTGTCATCCTCTTGGTTTTGTGCACTCTTCTCTTTGATGTAATGAGTCCTTAAATAAAGTAAGGTTTTTGTAAACATTTTTCTACAAGTTTATTGTATATTTCTTAAACTGGTGTTTTAATCTGATTATGGCAAAGTTCATTCTTAATCAGCAAATCTGTTTATTAAATCAGATATTTTTGTTAATTATTGTACATTTATATTGTTAATTATTGTACAGCTATATCTGGCAACACTTGAAAAAGTGTTCTGTCGTCAGAGGTTCGTCAATTTGAAATGTTGTAAAATAAGTTCCGCTAGTCAGTAAAGTTAAGTAATAAAAGAACAAAAGAAAACGAAAGGTAATGCTTCATTTTTTGTCTTAACAATTTTGTCCATTTCAGTAGTCATTGTCAGGATCAAATTAATCAAAATAGCCTGATGATTGCGATAGAGATGGTCAAAAATGTTTGATTTAATAAATGGATTTGCTGGTTAAGTTTGAACTTTTTTGTGTTGTAATAATAAAAAGTTTATGTACTTTAATTTTTTATTAGATGTCATAATAATATAGACTTATTGAATATAGACCACTCTCTTTATGCTAGCTAAACCTTCACAAAAAAATTTACTCAGAATTATATTAAGTTACAAAGAAATAATGCATTATGAAATACACAAAAAAGACAATTAAATGATTGATTCAATTTGTATATACAGTGGAACTTTGTTTGTCTGGCTCAAATGGGACTGAGTCCAATTCAGATGACCGAAAATGCAGATAATCCGGAAAAATCGTTGACATAAATAACAGTTTATAGACTTTTTATTTTATATTTATAGTTTCTTCTTCAACGTAACAACCATTTTCATCCTTTAGACATCATTTTCATGGTGTTTACTTCATTTCAAAAATGTTTGAAGATGAGTGAAACCCAGCGAAACAATAGAAGCTTTAGGATATTGAGTGAATAATAACTCACAAGGTTACAAACAATAAACTTATTAAAACACATTGACTACCATGAGAGGCACTGCATTTTTATTCCATGGTAAAGTAGCAATTTTTTAAAATTGAAAATCTTAAAAGATTAGGAAAGATTCAACAAGATATTAAGTAAATTCAAAAAACATGCCCTTGGATTGCATAACAATGTACAGTACATCATATGCCAATTCATAGGAAACAAGTCTATTCTTGTTACACTTAGGCAAGAATGTAATTAGTTCTTTGGTTTTTTGCATTTATTTTTATTTTTGTATGACTATCTTTCTGAGACAGGGATTGTTTTATAATCTGGCTAATCCAGATTAATGGGGTTCTACTGTATACATATATAGTTGTTACTTGATCAACTTTTTAATTTAGTTTTTGAATCAAAATAATTGTTTTTAATGAATAGAAAATTTTAATTTTTAAGATATAAAATGTCATACTCTACATTAGTTATTTTGACCTCATTACAAGTGAAATTAGTTCTTTTTACATTCAAAATACTGAATTTTTCTTCACTGATAATTCTTCAATTTTATTATATAATATTTGACTGTTTATTACCATGTTGACCAAAACAAATATTAACCAATTAACCAGAAAAAGTATTAGTAAAATTCTCAACATTCAATTATTTGAAATATTATTCCAGCATTACATACATAGATAATTACCATCTAGTATTACCACCTGTCTGGTTTTCACCCAGACAGTCCTGGAATCGACTCACTGTCCGGGTGAAATATTAATTTTGTCCGGGAATATTGTGTGCAACCTGTCAACCTTTTTTATTTATTTGTTTGTATGATTTGTATTCATACACGTCTCTAATATCCAATAGAGCTAAGTCATCTGTAGTTGTTTTTTTGTAATTTAGTTACTTATGTTACTCCTACCCAAGTCTCCCTAGTCCCTAACTGTAACTGATTTAGAACTGCCATGCACTGCACATTATTCTTCGCATTGCAAAATGACATTGCGCATGCATCAGGAACTTCTGTTCGAACGAACTTCACCTGTTGTCCGGGTCAGCGATTTTGAAAAGGACACTATTACCATCCATATTTTCAACATTAATTATGTAAAAACAATAGGGAAACAAATGCAGTTTAAAATCATAGTAAATTAGTTTTTGAAAAACTTTTCAATTTGTGTTGTCTTTAAGTTGAAGATTAAGCAACATAAGATCTTTCTAAAATTCTCTTTTATTGACCAATAAACAAACTTGAGTTAGCCATTGACATTCATGAAGCATTTCAAGCTTAATGCTCTTCTTCAGTTCTAGTTACTATAGAAAAACAATAATACATAATAATAAAACAGTTTTAATATTAGGTCAATCATTTCTAAAAAGAAAAAAATGAAAAAAAGATTTTCTATAGTACTAGCAGGATACCAATGAAAGATTGTGATCAAGTCATGCTGTCACATTACCAGCTAAAATTTGTGCTGTTGAAGATATGGAAATATGTAACTCAGTATCATATAAATTTTAAGAATTAATTTTAAAAAAACGAGAAATCTTTTGGTGAGTTACTTTAAGGAATTTTGTAATGATGTTTTGTGAGATATTTTTAATAATTTAATATGTTCCTTTATTGGATATGAGACTGACAGGAAATACTAAAATCCTTTTGTTACATTAAATTTAAGTCTAATTATAAATAATTTTAAGAAGTGTCTGTCAGAGTTTAATAAGATGTGTTTTATAATCTTTATGGGTTTAAAAAATGTTTTTGTAGAACATTGTAAATAAATTTGTACTTTAAAGACAAATGAAGAGGAACATAAAGTTCCAGCATATAAATAGATAACTCAAGTTTGTTTATTGGTCAATAAAAGAAGATTAAAAAAAGCCTATTAGTTAATCTTCAACTTGAACTTAACACAACCTAGAATAAGGTGTAATGTGATTCTTCTAAGAGAACAAAAAACTTCTTAAAACAAAAACAAAGGTTTTCAAAAGTTAGTTTTGAAAACCTTTTGAAACATGCCAGACTCATATCTCTAGGTCTATTAAACATAGAAATCTGAAAACCACCTGTAAATGTTATGTTCATATTTTAAATTTTGATCTTTACAAGTCAAATTGTTATATATCTTTAAAAATTCAAATAGTAACCAGTATTTCTTATGGTACATTTTTGTAAAGGTTTTTAATGCTGAATTTAAGAATATAATTATTTATAAAATTAAAAAAAAATGAAAAAAAATTCAGAGATTATAAATAATAAACCTGATCTACTAGGTTTGAAAAATTATTCTAAAGGTAATTTTTTTTAATCTAACAGGTCAAAAATGACACCCTGATATCTCATTTTTACATTTTACTTGACAATGATTTATATTAAAAACAACCAAATACTGAATTAAATAACTCTTGAAATTAAGAACAATCTAAAGGGGATAATTGCTGATATATTATTGCTAATAGGAATTTCATTATTTTTTAAAAATAATGTTTATATTTAAAGAATATAAAAATATAACAGTATTAAATCTGTATATGTATATCTGAGATACTCTGCATGTGTTCAGTTAACTTAATATAACAAAATTTTCAAGATGAAGATTGTATTATACAGTAGGATGTTTTTACATCAGCTCTCAAATTCTACGTAAATTCTGTTAAAGCAGGGATGTCCAAGTTAATATTTTTATGCGGCCCACTGCACCCTAAATACTTTAGGTATAAAAGTACATAGTAGTTATATTCTTTAGGTACATTTTCATTTATTTTGGTAAAGTATGTCGTAAAACTGGATACACTTTCACTGGATATACTCGTAATGACGTAAATGCTACTAGAAACCTGTCCTACCCAACATGCATAACATACTATTCTGAACAATTCTTTTTGTGCAAGAAATAGGTTGAGTGATTCCCATTTAATTAACTAATATTCTTAGAATTAAGACTAGTACCATAAATGAAGATATTGACAATATTATAAAAGAAAGGCGATGTCAAAACGTGCATTGAATTTATTTATTGAACACATCTATTTTGTATGAGTATAATTTGTTTTTACTGTCAATAATACAGTACTTTTTGTAATTATATATATTTGTTATCAAAATTAGATATTCACATTTTGAACTTTTTAAAAGCATGTATTTATATAAATTACCTTTGTGGCCCACTGAATATATGTCAATTTTTAATTTGGCCCATTAGGAGAAAAAGGTTGGACAACCCTGTCCTAAAGTAAACAACTTCACATTTTATTTCTCCAGCAATTTATCTACTTCTTTGAATTTTTATACTAGATTGATATATGAATGTATTTTCACAAATGTTGAATGGTTAGGATATTCCATTCTTAGTGTCACTGAATCTTATTCTTCAGTCAACAACTTGCTTCTCTCAGTGGTGCACTCAAGATTTCATCTTGGGGAGCTGAGTTAAACTGATAAAAAGAAATTTTTAATGCAAATTCAATAAAATTCCGATTTTATGTGACTGCTAATTCATAAGTAATATAGAAATATAACAAATGTCATAACAATAAAAAATGAATTTTAATTATGAAAATATTTTTAGAAATTTTACTAGTGTTTCTTTTACTTAGGGGTGTCAGGGCTCCTTGGCACACCACCTCCAACTTCTAACATTCTGAACATGGAAAATTATTGAATCACTGTGGTGAATATCTTCATTGCAAGTAGTTTTTTCCCTTGTTGTGTATTCAAGATTTTGTTCTATATATTCAGAAACATCAGATTAAATAATAATTGTTGCAGTAAAAATATGAGAAATGTTTTAAATTTTCCTGCTAATTGTAAATGATTGTGTCTAGGAAATCATCTGGAACTAGTTGGGGTAAGGCACAAATTTACATGGAATTTCATTTTATGTAGTTCCTGCTGATGTGCAGGAACTACACATCAGCAGGAACTACATACATGTGTAAAATAAGGCTGTAGGAATGTTTAAAAACCACAAGCTCAATATTTTGCAAATATTGACTCCCTCCCTTGTCCTGGTGGCTCTTTATGGCCAGACAAGTGATCTCTACCACAAAATCCATGTAGTCTAAATAAGCTGGACCCTTTTAAATATACAGTCTATATGTTCTAACATTGATTTTTTTTTGTGGCCTTACTACAGGTATTATTTGAGTTTTTTCCATCTGAACTATGTTCTCATAACTGTTGTCAGTGTATGAATAATTTAAATTATTAACAATTATCTGATCTCATGTATGTTACTGTTTTGTGAAAAATGAATTTTGAATATGTATGAATTTGATAAGAAGAGCAATATGATGCAGTCAAATTTTGTTTTAAATCTGGTTTATCAGCTACAAAAGTTTTTGAAATGGTGGAAAAGGCTATTAGCAAAGAGGTATTAAGTTTAGTGAACATCTTTGATTTGCCAGTTGTTTGAAAGGAAAGAATCCATAGAGGATGATGAACACGGTGGTCACCATACAATAAATCTAACAGACAACATTATTGCTGTTGCAAAAATGATTAAAAATGATTGATGAATCACTTGTTACATGACAGCAGAATTGAAACTATTAAAAATTGTAATTCTCCATATTTTAACTGAGGATTTAAAGAAACAAAAACTTTGTGTGTGTTTTGTTTTCTTGCATTTACACAAAAGCAACAATTGTATGGCAGTTCTTGACTCAAAAACAAGTTGTAGAATTAGATTATTATACTCATGTGATTGTAACCCCATACTATTTTTAATTTCAAAATTAAAATTACAACTGAAAGTTAAGCATTGATTAAAAAAAACATGTTTTATGTTTTTATCATTATTATAATGTGGTTATGTTTAAAAATACCAAAAAAATAAACTTTAAAATAAAAGTTTATTTTTTTGAAATTTTATTAAAAGAAATCCATCAAGTACTACATAAATTTATTTAAAAATTTAAATTTTTGATTATTTATATTCTGTTGCTGTTTTTAAAACTTTGATTTGAATACCAAGAATTTGATATACTTAAATGGTAAAATACCCTCATAATCATTTAAATTTGATTTGAATTTGAAATCTGTAGGGGGCTCGGATATGGATGCCAGACCCTGTAAATGTATGGAAAGGAGCTGAAGTTGTTGAAGGGTTCAAAAATAATACTCTTGTAATAGAATATGAAAATGGTCAAGTAAGTTTTATTTATCAATAAATAATTAAAAATATTTAATTAGTGTTAATCAATATAATTTATTGTAGAAAGAGACACTTAAAATTACTTCAAATGATAAATTGCCTCCTTTGCGTAATCCTGAAATTTTGGTAGGAGAAAATGACTTGACATCTTTATCCTATTTACATGAACCGGCAGGTAATTGTTTTTTCTTTTTTTAACATATTAAAAGAAAATTTGATGTTGCTGTGATTTTATTTAATTGAAATTTTTAATTTAATTTGTATATTTTCAGTTCTATACAATCTGCAAGTTCGTTTTTGTAATCTCAATGCTATTTATACATATTGTGGTATGTATCTAATTATTAGAAATTATTTTTAAAACAAAAATGAATATAAATAATAATGAACAGGGAATAATATAAGTAAACAACACCTTTTTTAACAGTCCAGCAAAAATATTTGATTCTCTAAATAACGTTTTCGACCGATTCTAGCAGCCTTCATCAGTTACTCAAATATCAAAACGAACAAAGTATTCGAAATTTACGTAATACAAAATTAAATCAAATTAAATTAAACTGCGGTTGCATAGAACAACGGAAAAAATAAAATAAAAATAAAAATACATAAATAAATAAAAATAAACAAATAAACCCAAATAAATAATAATGCCGTCATCATGGATACATATATTAACTTGTGTTAGTGTAAAATGACTTCCAAGCAGTTGCCAAACCTTCTGCGTCTCTGTGATTGATACATTCCGTGGCTATATGCGCTTTATGTATTTCTATTTTTTCAAGATGCTTCACCGCTTGTAATGATCTCGTGGCCCTAAAGATCGCCGCACGATCCCAGTAAACGGTTACATCCTGTTGTTTGGCAAATGTCGCCAGAACAGTACTATCGATGTTCCTACCTACAGAATATTTATGCTCATTTATCCTTTGTTTTAAACTCCGCATAGTTGCCCCAACATACACGAGGTCGGAATTAAACCGACGATCTGTTATAGGTATAGAATATATACCCGTCAAGCTATTGCGATTAACCTTCTTCTTGTCATTCCTTAACATTCTATACACAGTTGGATTGCGTCGATATATTATTCGTAACTTATTTTTATTGGCAACTTTCCTATCTATCTTGTTTAGAAATGGAAAATAATTAATTACCACATTTTTTCTTTGATCAATTTCGGGAGGTTGCTGGTTTTGCTTCTGTATTCTTTTAATAAGTGCCTCAATCTCTTTTCTGTGGTATCCCTGTTGCGCCGCTGCCTTTTGTATGTAATCTAATTTCTCGTACGTATCATATAAACTCATGCAGTGGGTGTAGGCTCTTTTAATCCACGCTCTAAACGCCGTATATTTAATGTGCTTAGTATCTGTCGAATTCTTTGGGATGATAATAGGTTGATAAACCGGTTTGCGATATATGCCTGTCCATATTTTCCCTTCCTTACAAGTAATTGATATATCCAGGAAGTTAACATTCTTCTCGCTTTCTTGGTTCAAACCCAAAGTCAACCCATATGGGTTATCGTTGATCTTGTTCATAAAATTCTGTGTGTTGTCATCATTTCTCCACAAGATGAAGATGTCATCGACATATCTGGAGTATATTACTATATCGTTTCTAAAGATGGGTATGGTACTTCTTTCGAGCTGACGTAATACTAATTCACATAGGACAGCCAACATTGGGCTGCCCATGGAGACGCCCCTTCCTTGAAGATAGGTCGTCCCTTCAAAAACGAAAAACGAAGTATTACAAACCAAATCGGCCAGTTCTAAAATGTGTTCGTGGTATTTCCTAGGATTTTTAATGTTGGTAAATAGAAAGTCCCTCAAAGCA